AGAGAGAGAGAGAGAGAGAGAGAGGGGTCACTAAACTGCAGATGTTTTAAGGTGTAGCAACGCTGTATTTCAGTGCATAAATTGCCATGAGAGGCCCAACAGATCTGGATGACAATTTCAAGGTTAAGCAGAAAGGGAGATGGTGTGCATTGCAGAGAAAAGGCACCTCCAACAGAGTGCGACAGGCAGGGTACCAAGGTATCCTATGGTTTCCTAGGAGATAAACCAAATTCAGCAGATCTCTGTCTTTAAGGTCCAAACCTGAAGTCAGGTAGGAGAAAACTAGAGCAGGAAAATCGCAAAACCCTATTAAACTCCACGGAGAAGAGGATCACGTCCAACCGATGTGGTTGTTAGAGTTCAAGAGAGAATAAAGTGCACCACTTCGTTTGTTCATAAAGCTTGAATGGGAAGGGGGAACCTCTGGATCTCCCAGATCATTGCAATCCATAAATATCGCCTTTTCCCCTCCAAGCCAAACAAAGTGAACGTCTCAGAGATATTGCTAAATTAAATGGTCTGTACAAGTTATAAACAGACAAGCAAAGAATAGCTTTGCTATGATGCAGAACGGTTCTTGAACAGAAAATTGATGGAACCATCTTCTCAAAGCTCTTGGTCTGATCCCACACCAGAAGAGGTCAAGAACGAATCCTAAAAGGCAGACCCTTGAATGTCAAAACCTTTTTATTCTTATTCGTACTATTTACAACAATCTCAAAAAGAATACACACTCACAAAATATTGACAGCTTAGGAACATGGTGGCAGGGAAGAGAAATTAACCAGGAGGGGGAGAGAAACAACCAACACAAAGTCATAATAGGAACATTCCTTGAGGAATTTGTGCTATGTAACCTCCTGGAAAAGAAAAGGAACAAGAAGAAACAAAACCACCCCGATACTTTAAATTTGCATGTTAGGAAGACCACCATTTCCTTATAGATTCATACTAACCAGCAACTTCCCTTTTTCTCTTTTTTCTTTTTGCATAGCTGTGTATTGAGCAGATCAAGCCAAGCTAGTCCGTTCACACACACACACCGGTTCTGGAGTGGGGAAAAACTGAGCTACACTGTGCAGACTTTGCCTCCCAAACCTGGCGTAGATGATATTTAAAACCAAAATCACGATTGGGAGCGAGAAGGATGGCTGCTTTGAGCACTCGCTCTTGCGGGCTGGAATTCATCAGAATCAGAAACAGCGTGAAGCAGAATGGGAGGGGAATGGGGAGGATGGGCTATGCGGAGACACTGAGAAGCAGAGGGGCTTCTCTCAAGGCCGGATTCTCCAGGGGACAGGCAGTTCCTGGGAAAACCAAGACATCTAGCTGGCAGGAGGGGACCCACAGCAGGGGAGTTTCTCAGACTCAGACAAGGCAGCCCTGGCTCTTGACCCCATGGTGTGGCGTCAGCAGAGGAGGGTGGCCGAATTAGAGGACCGGGGCTTGGAGAAGAGGCATGCTCACTTTCAGAAAACCCCTTCCTGAAGGGATGGGGCCGAGGCATGCTCCTAAGGAGAGTTCCTGGAGGTGAATACCAGATCGAGTTCCACAAACCGCTCTGTGCTTGCTCAGAGATTCGTTCCGGGTGCTTTTGTGCTTTTGGGTCAATAACGAACGCTCTGCAAGGAAAACGCTCTGCGGTTTTGGAATGATCAAAGGCTCCTGACAATTATGGGAATAGTTGGGATCCGAACTGTGCCTCCTCCTGTCTAGGTTTCGGAGGGATGCCCTGCATGGTCCCCACTGACAGATCCTGATTCCAGGGTGCTCAGTCTCTGCTGAAGGCGGGCCCCTGGCAGGTGCTCACACATGCCTACCTTTGAGAGAGGCCCTGATTCGCGGAGTTGCGTAGCACCCAGGTCTGCTCTCGTGGAAAGCTGTTTAGAAAAAGTGCAGGAATGTGCATTTTTGCAGCATGCACCAACAACCCGTGAGTGAGAATTCCTGCACAACTAGATGTGATTTCTGTGTGCCAACAACACCCATCTCATCGGAACTTGAAGCGGCAGTTCTTGTGCAAGCCTGTTGAAGAATTCCCAGGAAATAAATAAATCTGATGAAAAATAAATTCTTTTATCTAGCTTTGTTTTGTTTAAGGATCCCAGCACTGGAAAATTCTGAGGTGTAAGCCCCCCTTACTCAGGTGTAAGCCCCACTGTATTCAACAGGAATTACTTCCAGACAGGCACGCACAGGACTGCAACCTTGGACAATCATATAAATAGCATCTCAGAAATAAATCACTCAACAGACATATATCCCATTGCCTTGCTATGCGATCCTATAAACATCTATCCAGAAGCAAGCCCCATTGAATTCAATGGGAATTTCTCACAGGTGCAGTATAAGACACAGTCCGAAAAAAAGATAAATGATTTTGCTATTAGTGCACAAAAGGATCTATTTTGTGCATCAAGGGAATGTGAGGCTTGAGGTTTAACCTGGAGCCACAGTGATGGGTGAGCAGATTAGCAGATGAGCTGACATACAAGGGGTGGGGCTTTTATGCCAGCTCTGCTAGAAGGTGCCACAGTTTTCCTCTTCCCTCCTCATCCCTTGTTCCTTGCATGCCATGTCTCTTCAGACTGCATGGCTACCTGCACTTATTCAATTGCACCTAACTCACCCCAGAAGACTTCAGCACTGAGGAGGGCCAGGATGGAAACCCTTCCAGTAAAGAATAATAAAGTTCCATTGTCCTTCAGGTCACACTGGCTTATACTGGATGATGGGAATTATAGCCCAGCATGCCTGGAGGGCATGGGAATCCTGGAATACCCAGGGTAGGATCTGCCTAAAGGCAGACTGCGTGAGAACTCTACTTTTCTTCAAACCAGCCCTCTGCGGCAGCAACGATTTACAGAAGCGACGAGTGAGCGGGAGACCCTCTCCGCTCCCCAGCCCCGAGTCCCTGGGGCCTGCCCTGTTGCTCCACAAATCCATCAGCACTGATTCTGCCACTGGAGGGCCTGGGAGGATTATGTCAACCACTGCGGCGAATAACGGGCTCCTGATGACCTTCCCCGGGAGTGGCAGCTTCTCCCGCAAAAGAAAATTCAAGGCACGCAAAGTACGCTTGGCCGTGACTCCGGCTGAGAAAAAGAGCAGACACGGAGGGGTGGGAAAGGGGCAAGATCGGAGGTCCGCTGGGGGAGAGTTCGGCCCCCTTTCCAGTTCGGGGCTCACCACGTACACACCACGCCAGGCAAGGAAACTCTCAGGGAAGCTGAACCCAAAGGCTGAGTCCAGTTTTTGGAGAAGCTGTTGAGGGCGCACCTTCCCGAGAGGGGAGGTGCTAAAGGCAAAGGGGCGGGGTTAAAGGCCAAGTGGGTGGGGCCCAAAGGCACCGAAGCTGAATGCTTTTGCAGCCAAAAATGGGGCCTTGGGAGAGGTGCTTTAGCCACAGAGGCTGCTGGGGGATCCGCATGAAAGTTGCTTTGAGTTTGCCGTAAGAAGAAAGCGGGATATAAATCTATGAACTATATAAAGAAAAGTTAGGAAACCCCCTAATGGTGGACCGCTGGGGGGGGGGGAAGGGGGTGTGCCCACCTGAAAAGCTGCCCTTGGGGCTGATGTTCCCCACAATTAATTTAAGGCTGTATCCCTTGAAACCAGGAATGGAACAGGTGTGGCCACATTCTGTCCGACTACAACATCCAGCGTTGCCTCTGCTGGCCGGGGCTGATGGGGGCTGTGGTCCAGCCGGACCTGGGCGGCCACACACCACACCAGACTCCCACAGGCTGCCCCTGCCAAATCCTCTGAGCGGCCTCTCCCATTTCTCTGCACGGGAACGTACCCATTGCATTGTTTTGGCCCGAGAAGCGCCCAGTGGGGAAATGTGCTCCTTGATGGAGACGGCCTGAAGGTTCCCTGGCGCTTCATGCAGGCCGTCTGCTCTAGTCAGGCAGCTTCGGGGGCAGAGGGGCCGGACCGGGGCAGCAGGCTGCCCTGCGTGTGGCAGAGAGGACAAACCCAACTGGAGCATTTGCCCCCTCCGTAGTTGACGCCTTCCCACAATGCTGCAGCGGCCGCAGGACCCCGCAGCGTGACTTTCTTGGTAGCCCGGAGGCAGACGGTCATGTGGGCCCCAGTGAATAAATCAGCCACTTTTGCTTTATCCTACATGCATGTGTTTGTTTTTAAATCTCAATTTCCCTACATGTTTATGGAGAAATTTAGCAAACTTTGGCATGTTCATATATGCATGCATGCATATATATGGAATTGTTGCAATCGTGCCCATGTCTTGCTTTCAACCCTGGCTTGGCTCTGGAATTCCACTCACTAGCTGCCTTCAGCTCGACTCCAACAATACCTTCATCATGAGAAGCAGAAACTTAGTTTGACAATTTAAATGCACAAACACAGAGACTCAACATAATCAACTGGCTAATTAAGAATTGTTGCAACCCCTTCACAAAACCAGCTCCGGCTTCCAACTCCGGGGCCTGAGGACACGGCTTGGGAAAGCACCCAGTGCTCTGGAAGTTTTTACGCCGTGCCACATGGGGTGGACATGAAGCCAAAAGCAGACCAGAGGCCGATGAAACAAAGGAACGCCTGCACAAGATCCTTCCACCAAGACATCCCAAGTGGCCAGTTCTGCAGCTAGCCACGAAATCAAAGTGCTCACTGTCCGTCCTAAAATATATATATTAAAATACTTTTTCAGAGCAGAAATACAGGAGGGTGGTAGAAAATAGAGCGTTCCTGGAAATGGTGAGGGTGGAAAGGAGGAGCAACTGCAGGCAAAAACCAAAGGAAGAAGAGCTGCTTTGATTCTGGACTGCCCCAAAACAAGCCAGAAATCTTCCTTATAAAACTAGATGCGGGGGCGGGAATAAAGGGAGCCCACTTAAGTAGAAAAACTGCTCACCAGCCCAGAGCTGAAAGGAGAATGGGGTTCTCCGTCCGCACAGGAGGGGGCTTCTTTCTCCCCCACCCCGCGCTTCTCTCCCCGCCCCACACAGGGAAAGATAGACTGCTTTCTCTTTCACATCTCCGGGAGCCTGGATGGGCCACGTGAAGCGGGGGGGGGGGAGCGGGGGAGACCTCACTCTTTGCCTGTAATGGGGGGCCAAACGCCCCTGAGTGCAGGACATGCCCTGGTGCTGTGAGGCAGTCGCTTGTGGAACATCTCGTTGCGGGGCTCCTGCAGCTGGTGGGAGAGGAAGCAGGGAAGGAACGAGTGCAAAAACGGGACACCCCGGGGATCGGTGGAACTATAGGAAGGTCCCGTTGGGGAGAGGGATTTTGAACCCGCTGCTCAGCAGCACCAGGCCGATGGAGAGGCCCAGCAGCCCAGCAACCAGCACCCCCGCCAGGGCCTTGAGGAAGGAAGTCCGGCTCCGGGTGAAGGCAGGCGGGCCCATGATGCTCAGCAGGGCGGTGCTGACAGTCAGGGTGTAGAGGATGGAGACGCCCGTGTTGAGCGCCACGATCTTGCCGAACTTTGCAAAGGGGGCGATGATGCAGAAGAAGAGCGGGACGGTGGCGATGACCGTGGTGACGGCGCTGGAGACGATGGCCACCCCCACGTGCCGGACCGCCTCGAGGGTCCTCCACTGGCGGCTGGAGCTCGGGTCCTGGAGCGGAGGGCAAGGTGGAGAGAAGGAAGAGCAGAGGACTCATGTATCCATGCCTACGAAGAATGCTTGTGTCCCGTTAATCACACAAGAGGATTCCTGCCAGGAATGGTGAAGGGGAAGAACCATTCACAGGAAGTCTTGGCTGAGGGTCCTTGGAGGTATCTCCCCTTCCCTCCCCTCCAGCTGGGGCACCAGACGGTCTACCTACGCCTGGCCTGCCTGAACAATCAAGGTTTGCTCCTGTTTTTCAGATCATGTGGACAACCAATTTGTACGCCCACTTCAGAAACCCCAAGTCAGCCATTGAAAGGATAACAAAGAGCTTGCACTAATGGCTTGCACTAACGGCCACTTGCACTAATGGTGGTGATCTTCCTAACCTTCTGGAAACCTTACAAGTACAGAAAAGGAGGTTCCGGCGAAGATGCCGCACTGATTTCCCCTTGTTTTGCATCCAGATATGAAGCAGGCCCACCTGCTGAAGTGCTGGCATGGAAGAAGGACTGAAGGACAAGCCTTGCGGCAGAAGAAGCCATGCGGGAACCCAAGAAGGACAAGACACAGGGGTTGAAAGACAAGCACTGTGGGGCTCTCTCACCTCAGCCAGGTGAAGAGGCAGGTTCTCCCCCGCCAGAAGGAATCCTTCCACGAGGTGGACGCAGTAGTCAACTGAAGAACCAACGAGGATCGAGAGCGAGATCGCCTCTACTGCTCCCATCTCCCAACCAGCCCAGTACATGATGGTCACCACCAGGCACACGACCCCTGGAGAGAGGAGTGAGCACTTGAAAGAAATGCGGGGCATTCTTGTTCTCAGTCTAGGGCTGAAATGACCCGTCTCCCTGGGCGCAGGTGGTGAAACTGGGGCGGGTGATTTGAGTAATAGCAAGGGGGCAAAACTATCCAACTCTCTTTCGCACAGGTTCTCGTTTGCCATCTACTGGCACTGCCCTGATTCTGCATTGGATGACACTGGAGAGCAGGGATGCTTTGGAAGAGACAGAAGAGGTCCATGAAGGACAGGAGGGGAAGCCCTTGCCCTGGCCAGCCCCTGACCCCACGACGAGGCACTGGGAGAAACAAGCTGCCCAGTGAAAGGGCCTGTGTAGGTCTCGGGGGCTGGTCCTTCACCTGTGGAAGCCACAAGGGTGGAGCCTATAGAGTTGCTGAAAGAGAAGGACTTTGGGGAGAAGTCCTCAGTTTGGGTTCAACACTCTTGACATGAGCAGAGGCTGATCTTTCATCTTATTAGAAGGTTTTAGAGTTACTTAAGTCCTGTAGCTGCGAAGGGCCAATTGCAAAGAAACTGTCTGGGGGTTTGGAGCTGAAGGAAAAGAAAGGATGGGCTGAGCTTGTGTTGGGCTCCTCGAGAAGGTTGCCGTGGGGAGAGGCAGATGTAACAGGGCCCCTGTTAAGACGTGGGTCTTGGCAGTGCCCAGCCTTGACCTCGGGCCGGTCGGCAAAAAGCCCGAGATGCCGCACTTGTAAAATCACATGCCACATTCGCTCTGGAGCAGGTCGGTCTCCGTACCTAAAATGGTGAGCAGCACCGGGAGGAGGAGGAGGAGGTGGGTGGTGAAGAGGGTGACGGCCGCCACGCAGATCAGCAGGGAGAGGATGAGACTGTAGAGGGCGCTCTGCACACCTGTGACAAAGCAAAGCGGGGGCGGGACGGGACAGGGGGGACCGTGGGTGTCACTGCTGAAAGTATCCCACAATAGAAACACAGAATCTGAGTGAGTCAGAAAGGGTCTCCCGGGCCATCTAGTCTGACCCCCGGCCCAAGCTGGCTGCATTCATGACATGCCCACCCTGTGCATGTCCAGCCTGCCCTTGAACACCCGCACCGATGGGGCCTCAACCACGTCCCGGGGAAGCCCACTCCAGACCCTCGGGTTCCTGACCGTCAGGAAGCACTTCCTGGCATCCAAACTGAACCTTGAGAGTGTGTGTCAGACGAGGGTCAGGAGGACCCAGGGCAGTTCCCCGCTTGACCACAAACCCTCTCTGACCACACAGTGGGGCCATTCCTTCTACCACTGAGCCCGATGCTGTCAGAGCCCAGCTCCAGACTGCCCTAGTTGGCAAGGCCAGTGGCCGGGGATGATGGGAGCCTTAGTCCACTGCCTTCTGGTACACCACTGGTTCCCCATCCCTGTCCCAACCCATCCAGGTGCCAGAGGAAAACAACCACCTGCGGAGAACGGGGGTGGGGTTAGAAAGCGGCAGGATGCACGCCATTCCCCCTCCATGCCTGTGAGTCGGGCTCCTTCGCAGCACCATTCCCCCTCCCCACGGGATGCCCTTCGACCGCTTACCGATGATCTCCATGAAAATCTGCTTCCAGTGCTCACACGTCTGGAAGCCCCGGCGCAAGGCGGAGCCCTCAGGGAACTGCTGCAGCTGCTCCTGGAGAAAGGTTTCCCATCTGAGATAGTCCGAGTAGGTCTGGAAGGAAGATTTCCCCTTGTAGGTTGTCTGAAACGCAAGGCAGCATGATGCTAGCAACGAAAGGTTTGCATACAGAGGACCTCTCTCTCTCTCTCAAACACACACACACACTCTCTCTCAAGGCTGCAGCTTCCTTTCCGGGATCAACCCCTCTCAGAGTGGGCCTTTTCCTTCGGCCTTTGGCTTTCCCAAGTATGGCTGCCTTCCCCAGGGAGTCTTCCCTCCTCACGAGGTGTGGTGAGATCTGCGGGAGAGGCCCTTCTGTGGGAGCCCTCCGTGAAGGAAATTAGGAGGGTTAGTACCCGGAGGAGGGCCTTCTCTGCGGTGGCGCCCAATCTATGGAATGCGCTCCCCAGAGAGGTCTGCCTGGCGCCGTCGCACATACACCAAGACAGTATTGTGTGCATAGACAACCTCTCTGGTCCATCTCTACATCTGAAAAGCAGGTTCCCAGGGAGGACAAAGCTGTGTTCACACAAGGATATAGCCCTGTGTTTACACAGGAATGTGTTGTCCGAGTTAAACATAATCCTTGGTTCCACGTGTTGTGTTAAGCAACGCTCAGGTGCAATTTCCTTGTCTACAGGAAAGGCCGAAGGTCGAGGCTGACTCTTTAAGCAATCTTTACAAATGATGTCCTGGAGGATCTACACAACATTGGGTGCTACCAACACATGTCTCAGAGGACCGAGAGTGCGAAGGCCAAGACTCACCGACTCAAAGGCCATGGAGAGCCATTGCACCTTGCTGTCCTTCACCCCCACTGCACCATGGGAAAGTTGTCCTGGGAGAAGGTTTGGCTCGGGCAGATTCTTACACTCCGGGTGGAGCATCTGCAGAACGGAGGAGATGCTGTAACCTGGAGAGAGAGTGAGAGAGAGCAGAGGGGTGGAGACCCCCAGCGTGGCAGGTCAGGTAAGGCTCATGGAGGACGCCACTTTCCTTCCCTTGTCTCTGCCCCATTCCCTGAATTGTCAGCTGCTTGGTTGTTTCCTAGTGCTCACATTCTAAAAGAGCAAAATGCCTCTCCTAAGGATTAGTTACCAAGAGAACAAGAGAATTATTGCAATTCGATGGCTTGGGGGGGTGGGGTATTTTAGCCCCCAGCACTTTTTTCTTTCAGTCGCACCCACCCCTGGCATGTAGCCCTCGAAAGCTTTTCCACAAGGTCTTGAAGCTGAAAGAGGCCCAGCACTTCAGAAGATCTGGCCTGGAAATCACAATCCCACCAGATCTATTCACCAAAGATGGAAGAGAGACCATCTCAAGAGGCCTCCAAGTTTCACGAAATGGGTAGGGAGCCCCCTGAGCTCAAAGGCACCTGTGGACTTCCCAGTGTCAGGACACTGCTCACAACCTGTGGGACAAACTTCTGCAGGAGGCCTGGGGAGCCATGGCCCACCAGCCGGGGCCCAACAACTTAGTTCCAGCGAAGACTCAAAGCTACGTTATTTTCAGTGAAAGGTTAGACGGCTCCGTATCTTTTTGTTCCGTTGGTTTTTGGGGAAACTGGAGAGTTCAGTTCAACTTGGAGCTGTAAGTGGCAGAATGGAATGGTGGACCACCTACCTGAAGGCAGGCATTGGGCTCCTCCTGGTTTGACCAGCTCTGTGTTGCTGGCAATGATCTTGCAGATCCGGCACAAGCTGCCAATCTCTTCGAAGAGGTCGAATCCGTCATCGTAGACGACGCTGCCCTTTCACAAGGAGACACAAGCGGAAGGAAAGGGACATAAGGGATAATTCCCCAAGGACGAGGCGGGAGAGGAGGTTGTCTTCACTCAGCCACCAACCGGACAGGAAAGTACGTGTACCAGGTCTCCAATGACGTGGTTGTCCACTCGCCGGGTACGGTTCACCCCGAGGATGCCAAACACCACAAACACCATGGCTCCTGTGTCCACCAGGGGCCGCACTGCCGGTTTCCCACAACTGGTGTTCCCACATGGGTTGAATCCAGAAGTGGCTGAAGGCTTGGCTTTGGGAGGGGCTGGAAAGGGTACGAAAGTACAGAAACGTGATGCGTGCGCTGTGATTATGTACTGTGATTGGTTTAAAAACGTAAGAGGAGACATGCTCGATGAGCCCAAAGGACTACCTAATCCATCCTTCTGTCCACACAGTGGCCAACAGACCGTTCCCTGGAAACCCACAAGCGGGACATGCGTGGGAAAGGGAGCTACTTTTTAAGTAAGTCTTATGTGGGCTTTTGCCTCCTGCTCTCTTCTTAACTGGAGGTTTGCACACCAAAGTTTTCGCATCGACACACGAGTATTTTGTCTATTTCCTCCTTCCAGAAGTCCTAACTCCGGGGGAAGCGGTGAGTGAGAAATGGATCCACAAATCATCCCGGGCCTCACCTCTCTCACTCGGCACATACAAGAAGCCTTTGTTGGGTCCATCTGGGCTCGAGCTGAGGAGGCAGCCTGGAGGGGCCAGGCACACACGGCCGTGGAAAGGGGGCTTGTGCGACTGGGCGAAATATAATTTCCTGGAAGAAGGAAAAGCAAGTAATGCCCTCTGTTTCAGGCTTCAGAACAGCAGCACTTTCTTTGGAGCTCGCAGTTGCCCAGGATTCTGTGCCTTAACAAAAGAATCAGCGGGTGAAGCATCTCCTTCACAATGATAACACAATGAAGGCAAATACCTCTGCTGCGTTCTGTACCTTGCCCGGCTGTTAAAAGAGATCTCGGGCCATGATCTGACTCTAAACCCAGAAATCTAGCCTGAAGAGAACATGCAATGGAGATTTTTTTAAATGGATGAGTGCAAGGAATGGGTGACACTGAGGAAAATTTTGCTCTTTAAGATTTTTGGCACCCGGCAGCCTTGAGAGCTGAAAGTGGGTTGAGTGAGGTACTTTCGCAGCGTTTGTTTTGAAAAGGGAACATGACGAGCGCCTGTTTTCCCCATGCTGGAGAACCTGGATCGATCTCAGACCCTATTTGCATAAATTCTGGCTGCAATTAGTGCAATTTGCTTCTCTTGCAGCCAGAATTTATATTTCTTCCCCTGGCTTTAAAAGCGGCAGCAATGAATTGCGGCCCACTTCAAAGGCAGAAGACGATGTGTTGGCTTGACTCATGTTAGACTGAGTCAGAACCAATGCCTGGTTGACGGGCAAGAATTTGGGGGGCTGAGCCTGGGCAATCTGCTCGTTTTCCACCTCCCGGCCAACTTCCTTGCAAACCCTAATGAGCACATGGATGCGTTCCTAAGTTTACACCCACAACCATGAGAACTGGGGATTCGCTTCCAGCATTTAAAACTAGGATTCATGGAAATGTAACCAGAGGCTTTTTACTCCCACTCATTACCGTGTGCGCAGCTGTTCCTTCGCAGCCACATAGAAACTGAAGTCAAATTTCCACCCTCTTTTGGAATCACAGGACAGAGTGGTCATCATCCACTTCTTGGGGCCCGTCTGTTGGACATGCCCTACTGTGGACATACAAGCTGTCAGCCTCTTGGTGAAGTTACCGTAAGGAAGTCTATACACCTAAGCAATGGATTAATGAAAACAGAACACTTCACTACGGAGCTCCGGAGCTGGGGAAAAGGGCACAAAAGAGAGGTTATCAATGCATCGTCGCTGCCTTCTTCCGAAAGAGCCACAGGCGGCTCCCCGAGTGCACCGTTTCCTCCTAGGCTAAGATGTGTGGAATCACGGAACGGAAGAGTCGGAAGGGGCCGGAGGGCCACCAGGTCCAGCCTCTTCCTGGGTGCAGGACTTCAAGTTCAGCCACCCCTCTTGGATGCCCCGAGAGTGGGAGAGCCACTGCCTCCCTGGGAAATTGGCCCCCTTGCCCTGTGGCTCTAACAGTCAGGAGTTTCCCCCTGATATCTAGCCGGAATCGGTCTTCCTGTCACCTGAGCCTGTTGTTCCACGTCCTGCACTCTGGGCGGATCAAGAAATGATCCTGGACGTCCTCTTTGTGACATCTTTTCAAGTATTTGTATGGCTCTCTCCTGTCCCCCTCAGTCCTTGAGGCCAAACAAGCCGAGTCCTTTCATTGGTATGCATCCGCGCTTGTGCAGGTGAGCATTTTCAGAATTTTTCTTTCTGAATTTGAACACGAGACTGGGAACTGCCAAAACACTTTCTGAGAGGAAGGTTCCTCATTATCTTTATGTGCAACAAACAGGAAACCTCCACATAACATGCTGGTGACACCCAGCTCTACCTCTCAGGTACATCTGCTCCAGGTGAGGTGGTGGCTGTACTGAACTGATGCCTGGCTGAGGTCATGGGCTGGATGAGGGCCAATAAACTGAGCCTCAATCCAGATAAGATGGAAGTCCTGTTGGTGGGCAGTGTGGGTCTCCAGGTAGGTGATTTTGACCCAGTTCTGGATGGGGTAGCACTCCCCCTAAAGGACGGGTCCGCAGCTTGGGAGTACTCCTTGACCCAGAGCTGTCACTGGATTTCCAGGTGGCGGTGGTGGCAAGGAGTGCTTTCCTACAACTTTGAGCCATCAGCTGCATCCTTACCTGGATGAGCACTCGCTAGCAACAGTGATACCTGCTCTGGTAACTTCCCGCTTGGATTACTGCAACGCGCTCTGCGTGGGGCTGCCCTTGAAAACGGTCCGGATGCTGCAACTGGTGCAGAATAGAGCTGCCAGGCTGCTGATGGGGACCGGCGGTTACTCTCACGTAACGCTGGTCCTCTACCAGCTCCACTGGCTTCCAGTTGAAGTGCAGGCCCAATTCAAGGTGCTGGTTTTGACCTATAAAGCCCTAAATGGCTTGGGACCAGGATACCTGAAGGAACATCTTCCTCACGCCCCTTAAGATCTGCGGGAAAAGCGCTGCTCTGGGAACCCTCTCCAAGAGCGGAAGAAAGGTCATCAACTCGGACCAGGGCCTTCTCTGCTGTGGCGCCCAGACTCTGGAATGTCCTCCCCAGAGAGGCACGCCTGGCGCCAAGTTTATACTCTTTTTGGCGCCAGGCAAAACCTATTTTAAAATTTAATAGGTTTTAAGTTTAGTCGCTCTGTTTGCTTTGTGATTTATTGCTTTGTTCTGTTTTATTATTTACTGAGATTGTTGTTTTAATTGTCTTTTTAAATACTGCAAGCTGTCCTGAGATCTTGTACGATAAGACGACATTAAAAAGCTTTTAATAAATAAACAAATTTACAGCAAGAGACACTTTTGCACCAAGTAGATCTGTGCAAATTTCCCATTCCCATGGAGTAAACAACTCTCACTTGCACCAACGGGGACCGGTCATGAGACGAGCGGTGAGAGAAGGGCCAGAGAACTGTTCAGTTCTCAAAGGTCACTCCCCCCCCCGCATCCCTACACCAACCCAGTGCCCCCTGGCATGTCACGACAACAGCTCCCAGCGTTCATGAGCGCTGGGTGTGCTGCCTGGTCCTGACGGGAGCCAACGCTCCGAAGACCTAAAATGCACAGGTTCTTGCAGGCCGAGCCCCTTGCAAGAGCGTGGAAGTTGCAGGAGTCTGGGCTCTAGGTCGGACACTTCCTCACAAACGTGTCTGGAGGAACAAGCACTCCTCTGAGGTGGCTCCCCCTCTTCTCTACCCTGGGCTGGTTTCCAGATCTACGGCCAGGAGAGCACGGCTGCCGGCTGCTCCAGGGACTCACCTGAAAAGAAGGGACCTCCCCATCTGCTGCAGATACCATCTGCCACGGTGCTGGGACGCTGGCATTGAGCGAGAACCTATAGACCACTGGCTTGCCTTTGCCTTTCGAGCGGAAGATGTACACTGTTCCCTGCGGGTCTGGAAAGAAGGGCACAGTCACACGGAGGGCCGAACAGAATCAGGGCAGTCCAGCAGTCCGTCTCTCTTCATGGTCAACTGGATGCTTCAAGGGGCAGCTCGTGAGGAGGACAACCCTCCCTGCTGTCTTTCTCCAGGAAACGGAACCCAAAAGGTCTAAGGCCACAGGTGGTGTGTGGATTTCGTGGCTAAATCACAAGAACATGGCCTTCCGAATGAATGGAAAACGCGCCCATCAGATCAAAGCTTGGGAGCAGAAGAGCGGACGTTTCTACAGTGCTTTACATCAGGGTCGGGGGCAGATCTCTCTCAAGGACCACCTTCCACTGGGAGTCCTCTGTAAGGGCCACAGACCAGTGGTGAGCAAAAAGCCATGAAGATGGTCCCTTTTCCCCCCTCTCTCTTTCTGCCATCTTGCTTTCTCTTCTTTCTTTCTCCCTGACTGGCGGCCTTCAGGTAGCTTATCCATCACCATTCCAGGACCGGTGATGGATAAACGGGCGCCACTGCTCTGCTGTTTCCTACGGGGGCGCACGGTCGGGGTGAGGAGAGCACCCAGGGCATCCATGCGCAACGTGCATCAGGGAGGGAAAGGGACGGATCGGGCTGGCTCACAGACTCACCCTGCACCACCCCTCCGTCGCCCGGGGCACTCGCCCGACTGCTCCACGCCGATCCCAGTCCCCATTTCTTCTTCTCCAAAGAGGTGCGGATGTTATTCTGAAGATTGTGGGGTTTCTCCTGAAACAAGCCTGTCGCACAGGGTTAGTGAGGGACAAAGGGGTAGCCAGAGCTGGCAGAAGCCTAGCAAGGCCAGGTGTGTGTGAACTCACAGGTCACGGAGGAAGCCAGGTGCCTGCATGCATCCGTTGTCCCTGGGAAATCACCCCAGAGACAAAGGCTTTGGCAGTTCTGTAGCCTCTTGGGGGCATTTAGCTTGCACAAGCACAAGCCAGACCAAGCCTGAGGTCCTGCCAACCCTTTCTTTGCCACTGCCTCTGGCAGCGCTCAGCCCAACTCACCTGAGCAGGTGACGCAAGAGAGCCCTTCCGCACTCAGGTTGTACTTGAGGTCCAGCAGCACCTAGAAAAAGAAAGGCTCAAGGAGGACGTACTTGTGTGCAAAATGGACAAGAAGACCCCCAGGGGCGACCTCGGATGCAAGGACGATTCCATGGAAAATGTTTCCAAGTTACCACACAGTTCCCCCTGTTCGGGAAGTGCAAATTTCCACCTTGGCACAGGTTGTAGAGTTAGGGCGGATTCAGTCTCTGGGGGTTCCTGGGCCATCTGCTGAGAGGCACCTCATTTCCGACTGCTAAAGGACAGGTCGCAAGAAGGGAAGGATGCTGCGGGAAACTTCCCAAAGGACAGGGCTTCTGCACTATGGTATCTTTTCTGCTTAGGTCAGAGGAGAATTCTGCTCCTTTGCCAACGGGCAGAGAAATGCAAGTATTTGCACTGAGAAAGTCCTCCAGTTCTTCATCACGTGCCCACATTCAGTGCATGCAAATTTCCCGAGTTTCAAAAATGCACATGCTTTTAACTGTCCATGCATCTTTTTTCCTAAGGGGGAAATTTATACAAACTTGAGAATGTGCGCGAACTTGGGAAAGTGTTTTGGCCAACGTTCACATTCAGATATGGAAGGGGCTGGGTTATTTTCCCATTTGGGCAAAGCAAGCAGAAACGGTGATTGCAAATGAGCGGCAAGCTAAAGCTTGGGGACCTCGGAGGACTCAGACACCTACCTGAATGTTGGTGTCGGGCCGGAACAGGAGGGGAGCGCGACTTGCCGGGCGAAGGCGGCTGGCAAAGAAGATCGACAGGCTGAGAACTGATACAAAGAGCCCTGTGGGGAAAAAGCCAGTGAGCACGAGGGCTGGAGGTGGGGTTCTCCCCCTTCCCAAATAGGGGGTGCAGGGTCTCTCCCCCTGGTGTTCTCCAGACCATAAGCCATGATGGTGGCTGCTTCCTAGGGAGAACCAGCTTGGGGAAAGCTGAGAAGCACGGCATCCCTGGGAAAACGGTGGGAGACAAAATTTGAGGCACATGCTTTTGGGTTGAGGAGGGCTGAAGTGCTGAATACTTGTGAAATTCACTTCGGTTCAGCCATATCTGATCAGCATTTATTCGGTTCACACCCTCTGGACCAAGCACGGACTCCTATGCGGCCGAAGTCTACACATTTCTGAACTTGCCATGTGAGTCAGGAAAATTAAACGTGTGATTGGCATCACAGATAATTCCCTAAAGTTTCAGAATAAAATCTGGAGTGGATTCAAGGCTTTGCTCACGGGCTGGCCCAGCAGTCCAAGGCCGATGGCTTACCGACGATCACCCACTTGCTTTTCACTGCTGACCACAGTGCCCAGGACTGGAGCAGCTCCTGGAGGCGAGCGATCAGGTGCCCCTGGCTGTCCTTCCTGGCCAGGCACTGGGGGTTCTCGGGCAGCACAGACACCAAGGGGACGTCCCCCATTTCCAGAGCGACTAGCAGAGGGAGAGAGGAGGAAGACAACTTGGAGACTCCACCTGAAGCATGAGATGATAGCCAACCCCTTTCTCGGTCCACCCCAGTGGCCCCGTGGCTCTGCCCTTCGGTGGCCCTTTGGCTTTGCCGTGGCCACCAACCCGCACTGCGAGAAAAGCCATTTCATGGTCAATTGGTTCATCTACCAGTTCAGCAGATGAACATCCCGCTATTTCACTTCCAGCTGCTTTAAATCAGTTGCTGCAGTTTACATCTCCGCCCTGCTGCTGGGTTTATTGGATACTGTAGTTGGAAGTTGTGCTGTGGCATGTCGTTATTTTAGGGTCTGAATGGCTGTCAACTGCCCACAGTGCTTCTGTTATTGTGGGAAGAGATATAATAAATGGGCAACTGTCCCGGGCCAGGCCTGCAAGAGCATGGGGCCATTTGAGTCCAAACGCCTAGACTGGGATCCCTGGAGAAGAGCCATGTCCCAGGCCAGACTCCCGGAGGGATCAGCCCTGTTCCCATCACCAGCTCCCAACCACAAGGAATGCGCTGGCTCAGCGGACAGGTGGGCAGAGCTGCAGATACCCCTGTAAAGCAGATGTGTGGAACCTCTTTCAGCCCCAGGGCCGAGATCCAGCTCGGAAAGCTCTCGGGGGCCGCACCTCAGGGGTGGGTGGGGCCCAAAGCGAAATAGGTGGAGCCAGAGCCAGGAAACCACCATATGATAGGAGGCAGGGGAAAAGGGGGTGTGGCCAGTCAAGCCTCAGGCTCTGTGATTCTGCTGTCAGGCTTTCAACTTTTTTGGAACAGACGAAGCCTGTGAGAGACGGGCAAAGCAGGTTTGCATGTTTTTCGTGTCTTGGTTTTCTAGTTCTAAGTCTGGTTTGTCCTGAACTTTGATTTTAAAAGTTTCAATGAAAATTCTTAATGCATCTGGGAAAACATTTCTCTTAATGCATATAATCTGGCAGGCAATCCTGCCTAACACAGGCATTTTTGTCGAGTGTAGTTCTCTAATCTGATGCGCTTTTAAAGCGCTGTTTCAGTTAATGTGCACATTTTGGGGTGCATATACTTTGCCGGGTTGCCATTTTTTTGGTCCGAGTTTGAGCTTGTATTAAAAGTCAGGATGAACAGAATGGAAGATGGCACCAATCTCAGAGTTTGGGATGAACTTCAATTTAAGATGGGAAAAAGGAGTGACCAGAGACAGATTTCTCCATCTTCATCCCTGCTCTTAATTTAGAATTTTGGGATTAAGGACTATCCCCCTTTCTCCATTAGGATTGCATTCACGAGTCCCCACGAAGAGAGGGCTGCCTGCCCTGTCCTGCTGACACAAGGGGGTCCCTGCGGAAATTGTCCTTCTGTCTAGGAGTATCGCAGGAAAGCAGCAAAGCAGCCATTTCCATAAATTACCATCCGGTGCGGGGAAGGCATACCAACGAGGCTCGGTGCCTGCGGCAGGAGTTTCAAGCCGTCTGGTGAGACACAGGCCGCAGGAGGGGTAAGGATGCCAAACACTCCTCGAAGGACAGGTCTGCCACAGTGCAAAAATCTCCCCCCCCCCCCCCCCCCGGCTCGGGATGCAGGAGAACTTAGCTCCCGCTCACAAAACATGCCCGGTTTGCAACCCAGAACAGGAGGAGGGGCAGAAAATGGCATCCCAAGAGAATGTTCTCGAGCTCTTAGACTACTCAAGAAGCTCCCCATCCTGTCCGGCAGGAAATTTGGAAAAATGCACTCGTTTGAAAGCCTCCATTAATCCTATCCTTCATTCTAGGTTCAAAAAAATGTGTGAATCTTGGCATTTTTTTGCCCAGGTTTCACAGTCAATCGCTGCTCATTTTGCACAACTTTCTCATTGGTGCGAGGCTGGCAAGGCAGAATCCGCCACATCCGCCTGGTCCTCCTACCCACTCGTTTTCGCAGGCCATCGGGAAACCTTCCTGACTCCCAGCTCATTAGAAGCACCCCATCATTCAAGGCCGTCGGCCTAAATCAGGCTGCCAAAACTGAGAAAGCTTGGCACATCTCACGGCGGGTGTTTGCGTGAAAGAGCTCAGCTCAGGAGCAGGGAACAAATGTTACCCTGAGTAAGTTATCCTGTTCTTTCCTTTTAGATCTTCCACCTGTATTTGGTGGATCAAAAGCGGGGAAAGGCAAGCAAGCAAGCAAACAAGCAGGTCTGATGATTCTGACATCTGCCCCCCTCCTTCTGGCCTACCTGGTTCCTCTTCGACATTCAGGAGGGGAATATCATCATCCAGGTACGGGAGAGACTGTGCGCATGGCAAACCGGCTTCCTCCGCGACGAAGACGGCGTCCGACATGTGCAGGGTGTTCTCCTTCGCGCACTTCTGGCTGCAGCTGTGGGCAGAAAGGGGAGGAAGTGCCAGGGAAGCCTCTCAAGCCAGCTTGCCCTGTGGCCTCACCGAGCTGCTCTGGGAAGCAGGTGCGCTCAGCACAGGCACCTGGGCCAGTCCAGGTGATGGCCCATCTTTTGTGCAGTTCCCCCTCCACAATTTGAAAGTGCTGGCAAGGCTCTCAGAAGACTGTGGTACCGCCAGTAAGAGCTTTAAGCGAAAACGTGCTGGCAGGCCGTCCTATTTGGACCCTGCCACTCTTGCCAAATTTAGTTTGGCTCTTGGCTCGAAAGAATCCCAGACCTCCCCGGCAAAGAGGTTTAGCATGCCTAGGATAATTTTCAGGCTCAGAATCCTAACAACAACCTTGCAAAGTAGGACAGTGGTGCGAACTGCCTTACTGCAGGTGGCGTCCTGAAACCGGGCCCCGCCTGCTTAAGCCTCGCCGTGGCACTCAGGAACGGGGGTGCTGCTCGCTTGTCACCGGGCCTCTCAGGCAGTGTGCGGCACCCCAGCTCTGAGCGTCACCCTTCCATAATTAGAGGCAACTCAAAAAGGCCGCTCACCTGGCCTGGCAAGCGTTTTCCAGAGGTGACAGGTAGAGAGACCATATTCCAAGCGCCGCGGGCATGGTGAAGAGGACGGCCACCCAGCAGCAGGAGACGATCAGAGACATGAAGAGGCCGAAGTCGTGGACGGCAGGGATCTGCAGAGGAAGGAGGCGAGAATTTGGTGAATGGTCCTGAAGCTTCCAGGGAACGAGGCAGCGTGAGAAACGCAGAAGCAGAGCGAGTGAGAAGGGGCCTCCCGGGCCATCTAGTCTGACCCCAGCTCCAGCCGGCTCCGCTCACGGCATGCCCACCATGTGCACGTCCAGCCTATCCTTGAACACCCTCACCAATGGGGCCTCAACCTCCTCCGGTGGAAGCCCATTCCACACCCTCAGGGTCCCAACAGTAAGGAAGTGCTTCCTGGCATCCAAACTGAACCTTGCTTGAACTGCCAGGCAAAGAGAAACAGAGGCAGTTCTGTTAGATCCAAGATGGAATCGGGGAAGAACTTTGCTTTGGTTAGGTTTGATGAGAACCAGCGCAGGTTAGTATTGAGAGTGCTGGGCTGGGACCCCAAACCCCCAGGGTCCCAGATGGCTGTTCGGGCATGAAGCAACTTGGGCCAGCCATGGACTCTGCCTGACCTATCTCGCAGGGGTGTCATGAAGATAAAATGGAGAGGAAGATTGTAGGAACTACTTGGAGTTCCTCACAAGATTAAAAAAGGCAGGATATAAATGTAATAATAAGGATGGCAGTATGCAAGATATCGAAAAGTCTTCATATTTGGGACAGAACTGAGATTTTTTTTCAATACAGGAGAAACCAAAGTGGATACACTTCTTCAACCCTCATTGTAAATTCACCTGTTCCTTTTTCATTGAGGAACAAGATCAAAATACGTTTCAGGTACAATCCTATGCATGTTTAGACTGAAAAAAGTCATTTGTACATGTAAAGGTACATTTATCCACTTGTGGTTTCATCAGGAGCAGAGGAGGCAGAGATTTGGCATTCTAAGCCCCAGATTAAATCAAGTGCACGGCACGGCTAGGTGGAGACAGAGCGATATCTGGATTTTCTTTTTCGGTCTAAATATGCATAGGCCTGCACCCTAAGCAAACGCGTATGTCCAGGAACCTGAAGCGCGCTTGCAAAGAAGGCGGCAGGTACAACACTCACCTGCGAGAAAACATTGGCCGCATACGCTGCAGCCGTGGTCACGGAGGTGAAGAAGGTTGCTTTGCCGGCAGTCTGGACGGTGTGAATCATCCGCAGGTTCAGGTCTTTCAAGTGGGTGGCCTGCCGGTAGGTGTTGATGAACACGAAGACGTCGTCCACCCCTGGGGTGATACAAGGAGAGCACAGTGAGGAAGGCTGCAGAACCCACCGGGGGGGGGGGGGGGGGTCGGCCTGAAGACGACAAGGATGCCTCTGAGGCTCCACTGGCAGCACCCCGAACTTGCCCAGTGCCCTAAAACCAGGAGGGACGTGGGTCAAGACCTGGTGGCCTTCAGCGTGTGAGCACCAGAGACGGTGGCCTTGAAGTTCCCTTCCCGTTCCACAGATAAGAGCTGCCTTTGCTGGGAGAACAACACTGTTTGCCTCCCTGGAACGGCCTTGCTCCGAGGAAGAGGGGCAGAGTCGGGGTGCTCTCTGCAGCAGTGGGGGAGAGAGCCCAAGAGGGGGTGTGTATGGTCCTCAGCCGGTGGGGAGGACCTGCCATGTTCCTCACCCAGGCAGCCTTTGGAGGCCCATGGAGCAGCCTAACCAGGAAGCCCACACGCCACAGCGAAGGGGAATCCAAGCTTCCTTTCACTGGTTGATTCATCATCGTCCTATATAGCTCACCACTGTTGACCACCTGAATAGCATCCTTGACACAGGAGGTTCTGTGCTTTGCGACGTCTCTTCAGACACGAAGTGTCTTAGCCTGGCCAGCCCCCCACCCCCCGCCCCGACCTGAGCAGGGCTCTTTTCTCCGGTGGATCCTTCCAGGACAGGACCATGGACCCTCTCCTGGCATTAGGATAGGTTCCCACTTCAATGGAGCCTTCCAGAGCAGGCAAAGAGAGAGGCCTCCAAAGCCAACACCTCCAAGGACGTAGCAGAGCGACTGAAATATGCTGAACGACGTGGGTGCTCTCAGTGTTCGGAGCTTCCCCTCTGCCTTGGGCCCCACCTTTCTCTCATGCAGCCCCACCCACCCATCAGACTCAGCCCCCTGAAAGCTTCCCTGGACAGGCGCTTGTCCTCTGTGGTTTCTTCGTCCCTGCTAGGCCTGATTCCCTCTTCAGAGCGGACCTCCCCAGGACAGCAAAACCTGGAGGTCTCTCCACCTGGGCAGGTCACTTACCGATCCCCACAATGACGAACGCTGCCACCCCGTTCAAGATTCCTAGGTACTGGATGCCGAACACCACGTGATACAGGAAGAGGGCCATGAGGCAGCTGAGCCCGATGCTGGCGATCCCAAAGAACGACAGAAAAACTGGAGGTGGGGAGAGAGAGAGAGAGAGAGAACATACCTTTCAGAGAGACAAGCAAGGGCAGGCTTTGAAGGACAGGGGCACCCATCGTGGGAGCCCCCCGTCCCATGCAGCGGGCTGTGAGAGCGGACACGAAACCCTTGTGTCTGGAGCAATGCAAGATGGGGAGCATGGGCCACCATCTTTCACAGGCAGAGGGTTGATTTTCAGCCCTGGGCCTGAAATCGTCATCTCAGAGGGTCTGAGCACCTTGCCCATGAAGAGGGACAGCTCTCGAGTTCATGGGTCAGGGAAAAGACTTGGGTCTAAAGAGGCTTCAGGAGGTGCTGACCGACCAGAAAGACCCCAAGAGCAATTCACACTGCCGTCACCCAAACCCAGGCGCGGACCCTTAAGGATCAGGTGCGGGGCAGGGCCTAAAACAGGACCCAAAAGATCTGGGATGCAGCTCACAGGACACAAAGCACCCAGATGTTCACATGAAGAGGGACACGTGCTCTGAAGCTTCTGTCTGTGTTCATGTAAAGCAGCCCACTTCCCAAGATGCTGAGGGGCAGTGTGGCGGAGTGGTTAGGAGCATGGGGCTGGGACTCAGGCGATCCGGGTTCGAGTCCCCGCTCGGCCATGGAGCCCACTGGGTGACTTTGGGCCAGGCACAGGCTCTCAGCCCAGCCTACCTCACAGGGTTGTTGTTGTGGGGATAAGATGGAGGAGGAGAATGATGTCAGCTGCCTTGAGCCCTTTGTAGGAAAAAGGCAGGCTATAAATGGACAAATAAATAAAAGTAAACAAATAAAATATTTCAAGAAAGGGTTCTATGGGCTGGAAGAGGACGACATTTGATTTCAGGAGGCGGGGAAAAACCTCAGGAAGAAGGTTCAGGGGCTTAGCAGGAGGGAACCACATCTGGGCTGATCTGGGAGCATCAGATGCACCGGTGATATTAAAGTCCCTGAAGCTTGGCTGTCACCAGAGGTGGGACAGGGGCCTCGCAGAGACGTGGGGCTCCAGTGTTAGGCGCCTCTGAACGCTGCCCCTGGACTCATGACGGCCCAGTTCGGCTTGAGGCTCAGTCTCACGTTCCTCCTTGGTGGGGCGAAATGCAGGCAACCCCGTCCAGCTCCCAGCCCCACACGGAGCTCTCCATGGTGCTGAATGCTCTGCCTCTTGCTTTGCGGGCCTCCGAACCCAAGCCCTGGTCTGCACCTGATCTGTAGCATCACCTGAGCTACCTCCCACAGCCTCTCCAGCTTGACACTGTAGTCAGCCGAGGCTCCGTCAGTGGGTGCTGATGCGGGAGGATTGCCTCCGGATAGCCAAAGGAACCTCTTGGTATTTTGCATGTTTAACAGATTTTTAGAGAGTCTTGGAAAGGCGTCCAGAGACCATTCGCAAGGTCTCTGAACTTCGAGGCGGCCTCATATCATCTGCCCATCTGCACGTTTTCCTTCAATGGAGAGGTGGCGGGTGTCCCTCAAGAGCGCTGCGGCCTGGCTGAAGGTGCAAGACCTCGGCACCCGACCCGTTCCATTCTGCATCTGCCAGAGGGACTGCAGTGCCCCAGGGTGGTACCTGGCCAGCACTGGGCTTGACCAAAAGAACGTGTCTCCAGTCAGAAGAAAAGGAACCAGAAAGGGAGGGCAAGGCATTCCAACATAAAGAGACCGGCCGACTCCAATCCGGATGGAGACCATGAGGGATCCTGAGCTGAGTCTGAGTCGCCGGGTGTCCTACTTGAGAACTGGCATGGGGGCAGTCCTCTGGCTGACTACGAAGTGCCCCATGTCACATGTCTCCAGCTCCACTCCTACTTGTGCATTCCCACAAGTCCCCAGAGACCTCCTTCCAAAAGCAACCACATCCCGGGCTTCTTGCCGCACAGAGAAGAAGCAAGTCCAAAGGTGTAGCGGCTGACCTGAGCAAGACGCCAAGAGGTAAACCAGCACGGCGATGCAGCTGCTGCTGATGAACGCCAGCAGCATGTCATTGTTGAAGGTCTTCCGCACTTCATAATCAAAGAGGTCTGTCCCACCGTAGAGCACTTGGACTTTGCTGGCAAGAAAGCCGGGAGGAAAACCGACAGTGAAATTCAAACGCCAGTTCTCCCTTCTACCCCAGGCAGGGTTCCTTCTCTGCTCTTCTGGGGATGTTCTTTGCATTAGCATACATATTTTTACCTGCATTTTCCCCTAGCAATGCTGGAGAAACCCACGAAGGACTCAAATGAACCTGCATTGCCCCAAGCCCTCCCTGCGGTTCCTGCAGTTGTCTCTGGAACTTGCAGACTGGTTTTTTAAATTTGGCATATTTTGTGCAAAATCGGATGTAGAAAGAATAGACAAATTAAAATTCAATCACAGAACAAAAATGTGCACAGCCCCGTCCTAGAGCAAAGCAAGGAAATCTCTGTTATCAGGATCTGTGCATTTTGGGGCTGATTGCAAATGCATTTGTCCAAATTTTGAGTTTGCAAATTGGCAGAATGTGGAGCTAACATCTCCCCATCTCATTCCAGGCAATGCAGCTTTCTCTCCACTAGCACACCCCTAATTTTCCCCAATAGAAACACTTTATGCACATTTTGGGATTGGAGAATTTACCTGGGGAAGGGCAGGTGTTGAAGGAAAACAGTTTAGATTACGTATTACTTCAGGAGTTCTAAACTTAGGAAAGTTTGCATTAAAATGCAAACCCAATGAAATTCTCCTCCATTTCCCCCATAACACAGAAACTCTCCATAACTAGAAACCATAACATAATATGCATACATATAGATTTGTCTCCCAGCTTTTGGCTCAAGGGTCAAAAGAAAATCTGTCAATGAGAGAAACTTCTCCCAGCTCCGTGCGCTTCAAGAGCAACAGGATTAGATTCTTCAGAAGAGAAAAGCAAATGTCAAGAGACAGAGAAAACAGCACGTGCTTTTTTCTAAATTTCCTTTGGAGATTATTTTGTTGGCTCCCCAAAGCCAACAATTCCACCTGGAATCCTAATCGGAATTTTATTAAATCAAGGAGTACAAAGTGAGGTGGGGGAGTGATAAGTGTACATATTCAGAGGGTGAGGTAGCCAATGTTGAAAGCTCTAGAAAATATCCTGACTCTTCTGCAGAGAGAACAAAGATAATCCAAGATAATTAAAAACAGAGACAACTATAAAGCCGGCGCTGCACCAGAGCAGCTGCGAGGAGCCCTCTGCCAAGCTCTCTGCTGCTCTCTGCCATTTTCCCCTCAGCACAATAGCCTCAAGTACCTATTATACTATTCCAAGGCAAAGCAAAACACTCCATCCAGCCTGAGCAGTGACTTTCCAAGCTTCGGCACCCGGATTGATTGTCAATATTGGGACTCAGTTTTGTGACAGTTGATTTTGCGCATGGGCCAAGCGCCCTTCCTGCAAGAGCACGTGAGAGCGATCTCCCCGCACAGGTTTGGGCACGGATGAGAGATTTTCTTCCAATTCGTTTTTCACTCAGATCAAACCTGCCACCTTGAACGTGAATGGGGAAATCTCGCTATCCCTAGCTCTGCGATCAGAATTTGTATAAAAATGTGTGTGCCAGAAAAATGCTCACTTTACAATGCTCACATTTCTGTGTTTTCCTCTAATGTGCATATTTTGGGTCCTTCTCTTGATCAGAAACTCTACTGCAAAATCCAGAGAAGAGTGAAAATTTGTGGGTGAACGGGCACTGGGCTGTACTTTTGTCCAGAATGGCGTTTGGTAAGTTGGGTGCCATGAAGACACTCAGTAAACCCACTTCTTCCCCCTCCCATCTTCATCCACACAGAAATGAAGCAAAGCTTTCACCCACACAGGGTGAAAATCCAATCGGTATTTGCAATTCCACTGCTCTGGCTTGCTGTCCCCGCGAGCTGAACCCATCCAGGGACTTCTGCCTCCAAGGCAGGCCACAGGTTGTAATTTTTAAAAAAATACCATTTGCACGGACCAGAATATTTGCACTGCTTTTACACATTGGGAGTAAAAATGACACCGGCCTAGCTTGACCCTCACGGATTGCGCAAGAACGATATCGCCTCACTTGCGCCAATGGCTGGATCGCCAGAGCAGACGCGAAAGGCAACTGTCGCTGGAAGCAAAGCGAGCAGGGAGTCCACCCCTCGCACACTCCCGCTCGCTCACCTGGTGGACTGCTTGGCCAGCAGAGTCACATAGGTCACCACGAAGCGCTGGAACTTCTGGTGCTGCTCCTCCCACCGGTCCTCCACCGAGTAGTAACTGGGCAGCGGGGCCCCAAAGAGGATCTCGCTGCGCAGCAGGGAACTCTTCATATTTTCTGCGGACAAAGCCTCGTCCACGTACCAGTAGAACTCCGGGTGCGTCATGGCCAGCTCTAACGAGCCTAGAAGGAAGCAGAGAAGCCAGCCACCTTTCAGGAAGACCATGGCACCGCTCGGGTGGGAAAGTGGGGCTGAGGCCCAGGGCCCTCAGCCCAGCCCTCCCCTGCAAAGAACTGCCCTCAGAGCGGCACACGGTGGGAGCATCCAAGGGGCAGAAGCCCCCTCCGATTAATTCTTCCAGCCGTTTGTTGTTGTGAGGATGAGGTGGGGAGCGGCAGGTGGAGAATGAGCAAAGCCACTTTGAGTTCTTGGTAAGCCAAAAGGCAGGAGATAAATCAAATAAATAGATACAGAGGTGAATTTAGCTGCAAAGCTACACTTGTTCCAGCTTCCATGAGCAAGGAGAGCTGGAGAAATCCACAGCAGCTCCCCAGCACTGGAGGGGTCTGTGAATCCAAGCTGCGTCTTCTGCAGCGAATGGGCATTTTCCAAGACTCACAGACCGTCCGTGTGTACTTTTTTGGAGGGAGCTGCACAAATGCACACTTGGGCTATCAATTCACGTTAGTGCAAGAGTGTGTTCTGTTAATGTACACTTGTACAAACAGAACAACATTCTTGCTTGCGCCTTCAAAAAGCAAAAGAAAAGAAAAGAAGCCCATCCCACAATTCTAGCCATGAGCAGATGGCAGAAGGAAAGGTGCCTGGAACACAGATGGAATGGATTTAACAAAATCCGTACATTTGCAGCACCAGCAGCGGGAGAAGGCCCGGGAAACGGGGCTGCTGCAACAGCCCTGTTGACAGCCTGTCTTCTTTCCCTCTCTTCCCTCTGCCAGTTTGCTTTTGTGTTGTGTCTTTTTTCCGATGGTAAGCCTGCAACCAGAACGCCTTAATCCTCACATCCACATCCTTTCAGATTCAGCAATATTTCGAATGGAACCCCCTTCTAATCCTCAAAACAAAGAGGAAACTTTTGCAGTTACCGACTGCAAATGCTGACTTGGAAGGGCATGGATTTGGAGGAGACTGGAGTTTCTTTCTGTATGGGGTTTTTTTTTTTTTTTGCAATCTGGGAATTCCACCCACATGCCCTGGAACTGTGGCCTTGAGGAATAGTTCACCTCTCATGCAAACTGTCTCTGATGAAAGCAGAAGCTGAAATATTTCCCAGAAATTGAAGAATCTATTATCTGACAATTGCTTTTCTGTGCACATCCATGCTCTGGCATAATTATGTTAGATTACCTAGTATGTTAGACATCTTTTTATAGAGTTGGATTTGGGAGCAGGTCTTTGGAGCTGTGATACCTTCTGCGCACCTGCAGGAAACTTTGCATCCTGACCTTGGAGGGGGCAGTCCATGATCTGTCCCGCCGTCCCCTTATAGTCAGCCCGGTTAGCGAGTTGGCCAGCCCAGCTGCCTCTCCGAGGTTGGAAATATGACCACGGAAAGGAGGGGAAAGGGGCTTGTTCATGGAGAGAGGAGGAGGAGACGGAGAAGCCTGGATCCAAACCCTCCAGGGACCTCTCAGCCCCCTTTCCCTCCACCTCTGACATTCTTTCAGTTCAGCCAAAATTGCACAGCTTGAGGTGGGAAGGAGAAGATTTTCTCTGCCATTCCTTCTGCCTTGCACAGAACAAGCAAGAACTTCCAGCTGGTCGCAATTTGATTTAGTTCTTAGATACACAGTTTGCTCCCCAAGTGTCCCAGATAAGGCTGCCCCAGACAAATAACGAACCACTCGGGGGTCCCTGCGTTCCTCCAGGCCGGCGAGACTCACCTCGGATGTCAGCCAGGTCCTGCCCGAGCCCGTCATAGTAAATTTTCCCGCCCCTCTCAGTGGGGAAGAAATAGGTCATGAGCGAGCTCGGAGGGGAGCAGTGGGAATAGGAGCCCAAGGGCAGGTCCTTGAGGACCTCGTGTGGCTTCCAGCAAAACTCCCGGAAGTGCGGGTGGTCCATAATTTTGCGCTCGATCTCATGGATGGTGACCAGGCGCTCGGAGGTGAAGATGTTGTTCTCCGCGTCTCCCCGGGCCAGGAAAATGAGCTCGATGCGCCAGTGCACGTGGGTCTGAGTGTTGGCGCTCACCACGGTGCTGGAGTACTCCCAGCGGGGAAGGGTGCCCCGCAGCGGGTGGGAGCTCTGGTTGGCCAGGCTTGGTGGGGCCAGAGGAGAAGGGCCGGTCCTGTCCCAGCCGGCGGCTCGGCGCTGCCGCCGGGCCGACTGCGAGGCGTTACGGCGCAGCTGCTGCAGCTGCTCGAAGATCAGTCGCTGCAGGATCTCCGAGTTGAAGTCCGCCAGGTCCCGGCGGCTGCGGCCCCAGGAGCCAAACTGGGACTTGAGGGCCAGGGCCAGGGCGTCGAAGCGCTGGGAGGACTCGTGGTTCCGGATCTCGAAGGCGTTGTAGGAAATGTCGATGTCCAGAGCTGGGTAGTGCAAGAACATCACAATGGCCAGGGTGGCCGGAATGGTGCAGCCCAAGAAGAGGATGAGGCCGGCTGAGTAGGGGTTGGTGAAGGTCCACCCCACGACCTGCCAGAAGCCGGGCATCAAAGCGGGAGTGGTGGGCACCCGTGGCCGGGAATTCTGCCAGCATTTCCCACAGAGCCAGGGGCCGTCGGCGCGCCTGCAGGGGCCGAAGGACCCCTCCTCGTCTTCGTTCAGCCACGCGTCTTGCAACAAGGGGTCATCTTCAGCATCCATGCTTAGCACCTGGAAAAAGAAAGGGCTGTGAGCCGAGGCGGTCCAGCACGGAAGGATCGGAGCCCGGCGGCTGACCTGCATGCAGAAGGTCCCAGCCTTGGAAGCATCCCTGCCTATAACCCAGGAAAACTCTTTAAAGGGAGTGAGAGGGATTCAGAGTTACCTGGGGGAGGACCCCCCCCCCGGTGAAGATGCTGCAGCATCCGCTAGGTACGAAGCAGGTGCTTCTGCTGACTAAGACGCAGGCAGGGAGCCGCAGATGCGACATGGGGATGCGAAGGCAGCGATCCGTGGATCAGGCGCTTGGTGGAGGGGCCCGCCGCCGTTTCGCAAACTCTCACATGCGCCTACGGCTGTGAAAGGATTAAGGGGCCCTCCAGGAGGACTGCCCCACCCCCGGTGCCCCCTGCAGCTGAACGCCCTGCTGCGAGCTCCAAAGGGGGCTCCCAGGAACCTGGTATCCTCACCAGTCGAAGCTGCAGCTGCTGGAAGCATTTGTGTTGCCCCCAGGTTTGCACAAGAGGGCAGGAAGAGGGGCATGCGGCCGGGTGCAGAGGGAGAGAAGAGAGGCGGGGTGTGGGAAACCCCGCCGGGCCCAGCCAAGCCCTGCCGGGGCTCCTTCCCAGGAATCGCTCATGGACTTATCTGGTGGAACAGCTGCAGGGGGGACAGAGACGCAAGAGCCACCCGCCTTCCTCCCTGCCAGGGCCTCTGGCGGGACCACTGAATTGGGGCAGCCCAACGGAAGAGCCCCCGATGGGTCTGGAGCGCTATCCTGGCGTCCAGGATGCGCCCTGGCAGGGCTGCGCCATAAGCACGCCATCCCTGCCGGACCCCAGCCCAGCCGCCCGTCCACCCAGGTAGCTGCCTGGCCCTCTCTTCCCACTTTTGGACAGGCCCTGAAGCACCCGCACACCCCTCCGGACCCCAGAGCAGATCCTTCCTCTGAGCCCGGCAGCCGGCTCAGCATGTGCTGCGGAGGGCAGCGTCTTTGTGGGTTTTTAATTTAGTGGCCTTGTCGGGGCTGCCTGGCGCGGAACGCTCCGTGCTTCGGGATGAAATACGCCAAGGCTCTTCCCAGCCCCGTGCTCTCATTAAGGTAGAAGGTGGGGCCCTCCGTTCCCCTGGTCTTGGTATTTATAACCCTGGTTATTTATTCTCCTTGCTGGAACGACTGCAGGCGTGCGTTCCTCCTCTCTCCACTGGCCAACAAAAGCCGCTTGGCACCGGGTGAGACGGCCAGAAGAGGACGCAAGCGGATGCATGCATGTGTGGGGGCGTGAGCTCCCCGCATCTGGCTTTTTGTCGCAGGAATAAAGTTCCCTGCACAGGGGGAACATTCTGGGGGGCTGGGGAGGCCCTGGCCGGGGGGGGGGGGGGCAAGTCCCTGCTAGTAATCCCTGCTTTTTATTTTCCCGGCATTTTAAGAATTCATTGGTTTTATTCTTGCTTTTATCATTATTTATTGGATGCAGTGTGTTGTTGCTGTTGTTATGGGTTCTTTGTTCTTGGTTTTTCGGTTTTTTGTCCTTTGTAAGCCGTCCAGAGACTTTTAGTAATGGGACGGCATAGAAAAACTTTAAATACATAGATAAAATAATTTAAAAAGCGCTGGCATGGCCACTGCCTGAACCCTGGCTCCACTGCACCACCAGGGGCAAGGGCTAGTGCCCCCTCTCTTCATGGAGAAGAGCGAGTCAGAGGGGATCCTCTGAGGCCATCTAATCTGACCTCGGCTCCACTCATGACATGCCTACCATGTGCATGTCCAGCCTAGACATTGCCGTGGACCCCGGGCAGCCGTCATGGTGCCTCCCTGGCTGCTGCTTTCCCTCCCAAGATGCCGCTGCTTTCGCTGGCAAATTAAGAGTGCCCGGCATCCAGGACACAGGCTCCAAGCAAGGGGTTGTGCCAGGGGGGCAGGCCGGAGGGGGGGGAAAGCCGCTTCCTGGCCGCTCCTCTGCCCCAGAAGTGCCACCAAAACCAGGCAACGAGTCCCCAGAGCAGCGTGGGGAGGCCTTTCAGCAGAAAAGAGGGTCAGCCCTTCCACACTCCAGATGAGAAATCACAGCTTCTCCTTCCACATCAGGACCCGGTAGGGGAGCTGCGCTCCACTGCAGACAGAAGATATTCCTGGTAAGGTACATCTTGGCTGACTCAGGGCTCCAAAGCCTCCTCCTCCTGCACCTGCAGGCGGGTATCCTGATAGTCCTCCTCTGGGTCCAAGGAAAAGCAGCCCGCCCACCCCTTGCCTGCATGCCGAGCTCCTGCCCTGCCGCCCCCACCCACCCAGCCTGGAAAACCAGAGGAGACACTCCAAATATCCAAGCCTTCCTTTCCTGAAAGCAAAATCCCTTTTCGTTCCCCCAAGCAATTTCCACCTAGGCGGGTTTTCTCTTTGCAGCTTGACCCTGGAAGTCACAAGCAATTTCAAAATGCAGCCAAGAACTGATCTGAAGCTTCACCTTTGGCAAGGTTCTACTTTTGATGGGCTTTTGAGGCTGGGCTGGTGTCTCGTTTCTGTCTCAAGTGCCTGGGCAGAACCCTGAGCTGACTGCTTCTTCTAATGGGTAAGATTAGCACAGGGAAGAGGGAGAGAGAGAAAAAGAGGCGAAAGCAAAAGCACTTTATTTTCTCTCCGCCCCTCCAAAAGGCACTCCTGGGGTTGTTAAATAGAAAAGGGCACCGTTTATTTTTAAATAGAAAAGAATCCAAGCTGCACCCATTTCTGTTTTGAAATGCAAACTGCTTTTGTAACAGATGCCAAAATGGAGAAGGAAGAAGAGACGAAAACAAATAAAACTGAACTTAGCAGGGCTGGATGGGGCTAGTATCATTCAGGTAGTATATCCACTCCAGGCTTTAGTCTGAACCTCCGGGAATTTCCAGGAAGAGGACTGTGCCCGCAAATATGTTCAGCACCAGGGGGCACCACTGAAAAGCTCAGGCTATAAATCAGAAACTGGACAGCCCTGAGTGGGATGGTGCGACTCGGTGTCCTGCAACAGCAGCGGGTTGGACTTGATGCCCTTCCTGGCCCCTTCCAGCTCTGCTATTCTATGATTCAGAGTGGCTCACAGAAAATGCAGTTACAGTCTTCCATGAGATTCGATATACACTGAGCTGGGCTGCAAAAGGCCCGGATGGAAAGAGACTCTCTGATATTTATTCAACAGAAGGAGGAGAAGTAGCAGAGTACGGATTAAGTTTTTAACCGTGGAAGCACTCCAGGTTTAAGTTGGCACTTTCAGAAACAACCCATGCTTCCACTGAGGGAACAACAGGAACAGGCGGTCCTTGCATCAGCCAGTCCAGGCCAAGTCGTGCCAGCATGCCAGACGGTAGGAACATCTTTTATCCCCTAGTTCAGCCGTTTAACAAAAGCCCTTCCAGTGGGAAACCTCTCCTAGAGACCGTAAGGTTGCCGTGTACAGTTTGGGCCCTTCGACAGCCCTGTGTCTGATGCCACATCAGAAAGAGAAACACCCACGTCTGCAGCATGGTGGACTGAAGGCTCTCGATATTTAAACAGGTGGTATTTAGATACATTTACTGTACCGCAGGTGTCTGAAGCTCACAGCACCGTCTGAATTTAATTGCAAATTCATAAGCCATCGATCCCATGTTTGCTACAAAGGGGCATATTACTGATGAAAGAATTTTGGCTAACAAGTTGCTAAATGGCAAAATTTGCACAGGTTCAGCTAGCCTGTTTCCAATACGACTTCCCCATGTAAATTATTCCAAGACAGGCCAGCCATTCTCAGGTTCAGACCTACGTTTGCAGCCCACTCGAAGAATAACTCGGAATTGAGGACACCAGCAGCACTCATTCCAAATTTAGGACACTCTGGATGTCACAGGTACAGTCCGTCACAGAAGGACTGTCTGGAAATGCCATCTTAAAAATGCACAGAGCTCTTTTTCCCCTTCTACACCTTCCCTTCCGCAAAAGGCCGTGAAAATAATTATTTTCGGCTTCGGGAAAAAGAGAAACCAACCAGAATAAGGTCATTGGTTCAGCTAGAGGTCTAAGTGTGGAGCTGCTGAAAATTTAGCAGAGGGGTCTTCCACGTTCCTGTGGGTTTGTTGATTTATTATATTTATGTCCTGCCTTTTTTAACTTCCAAGGAACACGAGACAGTTTACATAATCCTCTGCCCCCTCTCAGTCTTACCACCACAATAAGCCAGTGTGGTGTCGTGGTTAAGAGTATGGGACTCAGGCGATCCGGGTTCGAGTCCCTGCTCAGCCATGGAGCCAACTGGGTGACTTTGGGCCAGTCACAGACTCTCAGCCCAACCTACCTCACAGGGCTGTTGTTGCGGGGATATGACGGAGGAGGAGATGTAAGCTGCCTTGAGTCCTTTGTAGGAAAAAGGCAGGATAGCAATTGGAAAATTAAATAAATAAGTAATCCTCCCACAGCGGCCCTGTGAGGTAGGGCGGGCTGAGGCTCTGTGACCGGCCAAAAGTCGCCCAGTGAGCTCCATGGCTGAGTGGGGACTCGAACCCGGATCGCCTGAGTCCCAGTCCAGCGCTCGTAACCACTGCACGACACTGGCTGTCTCGGCAGAGGCTGCAAAGTTCACACTGGATTCCAAGCATCACAGCAAACTTGCCAGGCAGCACTCCAGCGTTGCTCCGAAGGGCAGCGATACGAAGGGGCAACACATCAACTAATTACAAAGCCCCGAGGCAGTGCGACTCGCAGTCCTCTGGACTTGTAGGCGCCTTGGAGACGTTAAATAAATCGGCCCCCTTTTTTCCTCTCCAGCGAAATTGACTAAGTCATCATCCCTGCAGCCTTTGCTTTAATTTACTAGGCTGATTGGAATAATCGTCTCATTAGTCGTGTCTAAGGCTGCACAGAGCCAAAGCAAAGCATCACACACACAGCAAGAGACAATATTTGTGCAGCCTTGGGAAGCGGCTGGGCCTGATCCAGTGTCCTTGTGCGAGAACGAGGAGGCAGCGGGTGTGCCGTCCATAAAATTCAGGAGAACGAG